CTTCCAGTCACTGGAGAGTGTGCCTTCATTGAGATACAGTCTGAATATGGCAGTCTATGAGGCGGCTGCGTAGAGTACAAGCTGAACAGCCTTGTTTGAGGCTAATCCGGTACCGTTGATTTTTCGACATTCAGAGCGCTTGTTGTTCGAGAAACATAACTGTGATCGACATCCGCAGAGTTTAGTCTGTTGGATACCAATGCCTCTACTTTTGGATAAGTGTTCACAAAAGATTCCTCTGTGAAGACCTCAGCAAAATATCCAGCTATAGCTTCTGATTTCTACTTATCGTCCTCAATCACAGACGGTTTCGGTCCCATTGATTAGGGTGGGTATACCACAACACATCTTATTTCTATAGATCATATAGGAAAACAACCCCTCTGGGTGTCACAATTTAGCCCGAGCAAGACGTATTTCAAAGCATATTCGAGACCAGTTGATAGCAGCTGTACGTATATTTCGGGCTCCTTAGTAATGGTTCGCCACTTCGGGAGTACCGAGGTGGGTGGCAAGACTCCAACACTTTTTACATCGCAGCAGGATTCGAATTACGTAGTTTGTCCTTGGAAGAGAATGTTTTCGCCCCCTTGGAACAGTCCAAGGAATGAGCATTTGAGTTACTCCTGCGTACAAATGCTTGAAGGAGCACCACACACCTTCAGCTGGGGCTTCTGGATTGACCGTCCAGTCCTCCGAAGAGACTATCAGGTTGGTAACTTCCATAATCGCTTTCCATCTGTCGGGTCTAGCTGGGGCGTCGGCCCGGTACAAGACGTCTGCTGTGAATCTGAAGACGATCACAATGCGATCGCTTCTGCCAAGGGGTGTCAGATGCCGGATGAAGCATGCATCGTCTGTGTATGAGAATATGAAGTCTTGAACTGATAAAGCAAGCTGCTGACCATGTCTGGTTACTGTCCTTATGTGCCGCATGTGGGCTACGGAAATTGATCTTCCCACCACCCTGTGATTAAGCAGGTTAAGCGGCGCTTTTGCTGTTAGTCTATCCCGTCAGCCGATGGTGCGTTGAAGTCTCCTACAAATAGGCATCGGGTTTTACCTGTCCAGAGTATCAGCTTATTCAGGAAGAAGCCTGCTACCTCACTTTCAGGGCTTCGATATGCTACGATTATATTAACATCTTGTATCCTGCATTTTAGCCGGCAGCGCGACCCTTTCTATGGCTTTTGCAGTTAACGTATTCTTAACTTAAAGAATGATACCATCCCCTTTATGTGCCAATCGGGTTCATGCCGGGTTATAAAACGGATATCGGTTATTGGACACAGAACTTCATGCCCCACACAGCTTGCCACTATCATCCTCGAAGAGTTCGAAAAATTTAAATTCTTATATTCGTACAGCTGTTGTTCGATTTTATAGATGTCGTGGTAACCAAGGCCTAAATGGTATACGCGCACGTTATAAGCTGCTCAAGAAATGGTTGAAGAGGAAGATGTCTTAAAAGCACAAGAAGATGGTTTGAATGCTGACATAATTGAATTGAAGGCTCAAATTGAAGAGAATGAACTGGTCCATGGGATTCCTTCCAAAGGAATGAGGTTCGTTCAACAAATTTTTTAATGACTAGTTAACTCAGAGATATTTCACATTACGGGAAGCACCCCCAAGTGTCTCCGCAGCAAAGTGAGAGGACTCCGAAGTAAAATGCCAGAGCTACGATCCCTCTGTCTCGACTTCGCCCGAAAATCATGATCCTGACGGAAACGTGGCTGTCACCAGACATAACTGACACCGAAGTTAGCATAGATGATATGATTCTGTTCAGGAGATGGAGAACGTAGGGACGGAGGGGGGTTGCAGTATACGTGATCAAGTGGTTCAGAAGCGAACAAACCACTGACACGGCACTGACAGAGCTCCCAGACTCTATCTGGTGCCACTTCACGGTCAAACACACCAAATTCCTAGTTGGGGAACCTATAGGTCCCCTACTAGCAACTTGGAACACAACCAAAAAATACTCCAATCAATATCCACAGTGTCAACTATAGGGCACGGCCAGGTTTTAATGACTGGCAACTTCAACGCTCCAACCCTCAGCCTAGAGCAAGGTGGCACTACCCCGAGCCGGAAGTTCGACTGTAACCTGCTAAGCGCTATCCAGATGGCCAGACTGCAGGAAAAAATCAGCGACAACACCCGATGGGAGTCAGATGGTAAGCCATCTAAACTGGATTACCTACTGACTAGTGATCCCCTTCTGGTTGAAAAGGTTCAGGCACAAACCCCTCTTGGGTGTAGCGATCACGCTATGGCAATGTTCGACCTGGTAATTGGTGAGGAGCTATCATGGGAGAGACCTCGCCCTTACCTATGTTACAACAAGGCAAATTACGAAGGTATGAACAAGAGCCTTTCAACAGCTTTGTGGCCAGTGGATTGATGTTCCTTACCGATCGACCAGCACTGGGAACTGGTAAAAGATATCATTGAGGCGGCCGTCTCGCAAAACGTCCTTTTGGCGGCAACAACAACCAGAAAGTGAACGTCATGGCTAAAACGGGGCTCTGAGCGCCTTCTAAAAGCCAAGAGAAGGGCATGGCACACATGGAGACTCTCCAGAGAACAGGAAGACCACAACGCACACACGACTCTACGGAATCGAAGCAACATAAGGGTGCAGGGAGATAGGAGATCGTTCCAGTCCAACCTAACCAAAAGGCTCGGGTAAACCCTAAAAACCTTTACTGATTCATGGAAAAAGAAAATCGACAAGCCAAGGAGCATGTGTCACAAAAGGTCCGAACGGAGAAAACCTCTCCGAACAGGAGACTACTGAAATGCTGAGCACCACATTTGACACGCTACTCAACATTCCTTCAAGAAAGTGGGCAACCAATTGCACGAACAACCCCCAACGTTACCCGATGCTACTGAGTTACACGAAACACAGATAACTCGCGCTGTTGTTCCCGACAAGCTTTTAAAGTTAAGCGCGGAAAAATCCCCAGGGTGCGACGAAATTCGCCCATCCGTGTTGAAAGAATGTGCAAGCACCCTAAGTGGCCCACTCTGCGACCTCTTCCAATACTCCTTGGATAAGCGAAAGCTCCCACGGAGCGGAAACGGGCTATCCTTTCTCCCATCTCCAAAGGAGGAGACAGATAGAATCCCAACTGTTATAGACCCATAGCACTTCCACCAGTAATATCAAAAGTAATGGAAAGTGTGATGGACGACCGTATCAGAGAATATCTAGACACCAAGCGAGCACTCAGTGACGCTCGACAAGGCTTCCGGAAGGGTAGGTCCTGTGCCTCCAACCTCGTGACGGCCCATGATCACTGGACAGCATGCCGGGATCTCAAGGTCACTGTCCACGTAATTTTTCTGGCCTTCGCCAAAGCCTTTGACACCGTCTCACACCATATCCTAATACACAAGATAGCTGGGTTAGGTATTCGCAGCCAGGTGCTATCGTGGCTGCAGAACTACTTAGACAACAGGGAGTTCTGCACGAAAGTCAACAGGGTCTACTCAACTTGGAGAACATCCTCATCCGGTGTCTCACAAGGAGCAATCTTGGACCCCCTGTTGTTCCTACTGTTCGTAAATGACCTACCGCAACATATCAGCTCCCTGATTCTCCCATGCGCTGATGATGTCAAGTTACGGAGGGCAATAACTTGCGGGGCGGAATCTATGGCATTACAGAAGGACCTCAGAACACTAGAGGAATGGGGAACTAATGAAGAACTGGCATTTAGTCTGGATAAGTGCCGGTCTACGTTTTTCCGCACTCCTGATCCCCAGAAAACATCCTACTGTCTCCGCGGTTCACGCTATCCCATACCACAGTAGAAAAAGACCTGGGTCTAACTGTGACGGAGAAACTGAACACCAGTTCCAATTACCCAGGTGATGTCTCAAAGGCAAATGGGGCACTACACTTTGTACGTAGACAACTGGGTGCCCCCACCCCAGAACCCTTTCTGAAGCTCTACAAGACTTATATACGGCCCCACCTAGAGGCCCATAACGTCTTCGCTCCACCACAGCCGAAAAGAGGTGCGAACTTACTGGAGAAAGTCCAGAGGTGAGCCACAAAAGGGGTTGTTGGAATGCAACGAAGACCATGTGAGGAGAGACTCAAAGACCCAGGTTTGTACTTCCATAGCTATCGAAGGATATGTGGCGACTTATGATGGCCTACAAAATAATGAGTAACCTAAGTCACCCAAACAGAGGAGTCCCACCGAGTGGCCACTGCGTGGATCCTCGAGGAAACCCCAATAGAATAGAACACCAGAGGTCAAAAACGCATGTGCGTTCACATTTCTCTTCTACCAGCAGAGGTGGTCTCCGCTTCAAGGAGAGGCTGGACAGTCATGCAGAGACTCACGGTCTACCAACGCATAGCTGGGACACGAAGTGATGTCAAGTCACTCCAACCAGTTTTCTTTCTATTGTAACCATTTAAGCCCTTTTCACCCCTCCCACTTGCCATAAGTTAGCCTCACTTACCTAAGTTCTTCATACCTTTGCACCCCTACTCACCTTACTTGGGTGTAAGAAGGTCACTCCATTAGTTCACTTTTCCTCTCTTATTTTACTCGCACAAACGCTTTCTAGGTTTTCTCTTCACTATCTCCAACCCTCTCTAGCCACCAGTCCGAACAACTATCTGGCAACTCGACATCTGAAGAAGCCAACTGCACCACAGTTCAAGACAAACAAACCAACACTTAACTTCCTGTTCTGTAAATCAGAGCTATAGCAGACGAGTGGCTGGACCTACTGCATCGGAATCTGCCAAAGATCTGGAGCCGTTCCGCAAGTCCAAGAAGTGAGCGAGAAGAAATCAACTGGTTTACACAAGCTCGTTAAAAGGACATTAGATATTTGATTATTAGATCCGCGAAGAGTTCGAAAACTTTAAATTCTTATATTCGTACAGCTGTTGTTCGATTTTATAGATGTCGTGGTAACCAAGGCCTAAATGGTATACGCGCACGTTATAAGCTGCTCAAGAAATGGTTGAAGAGGAAGATGTCTTAAAAGCACAAGAAGATGGTTTGAATGCTGACATAATTGAACTGAAGGCTCAAATTGAAGAGAATGAACTGGTCCATGGGATTCCTTCCAAAGGAATGAGGTTTGTTCAACAAAATATATAAATTACTAAAGTTCTGTGTATATACCGAAAGATCCAGATCACTTTCGTCGAGAGAGGAAGTACATATTACAGAGGACACTGCAGGTTCTTGAACCACAGCCAATACTACTTCAGGCAGACCTAATGATGAAAGAGCTTGATGCATGTTCGAGGCGTGAGTATACAGAAAAATCCCTTCCAATTCTTTTGCACCAAGTAAAACTTCGATTCCATCCAATGTTTTAGTATTTTATTGATAGGATGTATCAACTAGTAGTACTGAAGCATTCTCATTTGTTAAGATGGAAACGCTATTGTTCATCAACTGCTGCTGTTGAGTCAATATATTCAGAATACCTTAAAAGGCTGGAGTATGTTGTGTTCCTTTTTATACAGCAACATTCGCACAGGCAGATAACAAAGGAATACTTGGATGCTAGCTCTAGGGCTCATCGACTCGCTTCTACCAGAGAAGGATTATTGGCGAGTTCTGATTACGGTATTGAAGACGTAACTGTAGAAGATTATCAGATCTATTTACGGCATATGATTAGTCATTTGCAGTCACTGTCGTACGTTAACCAAGTTTTGAGCGTAAGTACCTTCCGCTGAACTTAGTCCGCTTTTCAGATAATCAAATGGTTCCCTTATTCTCATAGGGACAAGATTAAAGAAAGCTTAAAAGTAAGTATTTTTAAGTGTCACTAGTTTTAATTTTATCTTTTTTCTGTAGTTCCTATATCATTTCAGCACATAAAATTCATGCTTGAGTCCTTGTTGATTATGAGTATGTACTTTGAGATTCCAGTTGTCTTCAACGTAGATGTAGTTATTTATAAACAAATTCAAAATATGTTTTCAAACGGTGGTTGGATTTTTGGGCTTCTGGTTGTATTTTGGTAGAAACTACTGGCTTTGATCACAGCGATAAGTTGCATTTTACAGTTCATGAACTCTCCAACGGTTTAAATAGTGTAGACATTTTTGTCTGGTATGACTTCTATGCCTACAATCAAATATTTAGTCAGCTACTTTTAAAACTTGACGTAGTAAGAAGATCAGAAAGTGAGTGTCGAAGAAAACCCTCAGGCTTAAATAATACTTTTTAAAGTTGCAGAGTGTTTAAAAAGACATTCAAAGTGGTCTAGTGAACTTAACAGAAGAGAATCGTTGCAAGTTTTCAGAATTTTTAACTTTAGAGGAAGCAATAATGGACTGGAAAAGAATGTTATCACAAATGATATATTTTGTCCGTCTTCTAAATTGATCTGGCCTACGACGACCCTGAAAATATGTGCTTATGACGCCAAAGGGGTGAATTAAAATATCAGATATTTGAAATAGTGAAAAATTTAAACAGTCCATAACCACCCAAGAGCTAAACACCACCAAACCACTGATCACTTACATGATTTTGGGTGAAGTCAAAAAAAGTGTTTTGGTTTTGATCCAGGACAAAAAGGGAGTTCACTGAGTCTAGCAGAAGGGCTGTTTACGCTGTCCCTATGATGTTTTCGCCAGATGATCATTATAGCTAAAATCAACGAAAATAGATTTTTCATAATAATCTTAAAATGATTTCTTTGTCAGATGTTGGTTCTCGAATTCAGGATGCATAGGCCTCTCCTATGTAACAGAACTAACGAGTGATAAGCTGAGTGGGTCAGACAGATGTAGATTTATTACATCATGCATAATAAACAGGTTCTTGTGATTTAGTGAAGGATACCGGTGAAAATCATTAAGTCAACCTATGGCTCAATTGGAAAGACGATGTCGCTTTCTATAGACTAATGGAAAAGTATGATGGAAAACGTGACACTTAGCTTCCACACATCCATTGGCTATAGCGTTTGCACAACGAGTTATGACTCTTCATACAGATTTCTTGATCTTTTAACGTTATAATCCATGGTGGATTAAATTAACTTAGTTCTTTCTAGAAATCTGTTTTGTCCAGAATTGAAGAAATTACTTTACACCTACGCTTGTGATTCTGCATGTCTTTAAGGATTTACACAGTATTTGAGCATTCCGATCATTTAAGCAGATATTTTAGGAGTTACTATGTTGTCTTGTCTCAAAAGCAAGGAGAGATGTATTTACTGAAATTAAGAATCTTTGATGAAAGCTAGGTAGAAAGACTTAAACTAGATGTAGTGTAGTTCCTCTAAAGTTAATGCTACACCATTACTTTATCTGCGTTTTGTAAGAGGTGAAAAACGTTGTTATTGCTGCAAAAGTATGAGGCCTTAGTTTTCCTAGGGATATTTAACCTAGTAGTTTTGGATTGTGATAATGTGATAAAGTTGCATAAACTTGTCACCATTGGAATCGAGGATATGACTAATAATGATAGACATAGTGACTGCTTGCCAAAAAGTTTCTCACTCACTGAATCAAATGTATACTAGGTAGAGACATCATACTAAAACTCTGACTTCATGAATGATGTACAATGCTGTCGTATTAACCTTCTTTCTTGATTGTCGAAAATCTTACATATCTCCATTTATGAAGTCATTTTATTATTAAAATCACCCAATAATCAATCTATTTTCTGAAGACTGGTCGGCCAGGAGGCCATTCTATAATCTTTAGTGAATCACTTTGAGCTCTATTTTCAGAGGTACATGTAGAAAGGTATGACCTGTGGAATCAACAGAATCGAGTGCGAAAACAGATATTCTCCAACGACGTTAGGTGGTGGTCGTGAATTTCCAGAAGTAAAAGATGTAAAACTTTTGATTTCAACACAGCAGCTTAATAGATGTGTGCTAACTATGAGGCTCAATAGTCCTGAGCAATATCCATCATAATTTCTTAACTGAAAAATGTTGGTTGTTTCGTGACTGGTGAAAAATGTTGTTCAGTAATGTGTTTTTGATATTCTTTCATAGAAACCAGCTTTAAATGACTCAGTTGTAATTACTCATAAAGTGTGCAAACTGTCTTCTTAACTGAATTATAGTCAGGGACTGGAACTCGTCAACTTGAATGATTAAGTGAACACAAGCAAAGAGTAACCGACTAGCTGTTGACAAGTCACTTCTGTAGCCTCCTTCAGTAACAGTATAAGTAGAAGTGTACTGTGGATTGTCAGTGATATAAGCTTGAAAATGATTCAAACCGATGTGTCTCACCATTTATCTAATATTATGTTTTCACTGAAAGACTATGAAGCCTTTCGCTAAACATATTGTTTCTCCCAAATTATTTTTATATACTAACCACTATAACTGTTAAAAGTAGTAAGGAAGACATTTTGGACAGATAAACATTAGAAAGAATCGAACGCCAATAAACTTTCTGATCGGTTTAATCTAATCTAAGTATTCAGAAGACTTGGAAAAACTTTCTATTTTATGTTTGCATACTTAAGACATGGTTCAGAACATCACTAGAAAAATTTTGACTATGCAACGAAAAACTACTATTCATTTAGAATAATCAAGAAAGCTGAGACGTAAACAGGTTCGTGAGGCATTAATAATTGTTAGCAGCTTTATTCCTTTGTAAAAATGACCGTTCTAGTAAATAAACGATGGCTCAATTAAGAAAACCTGTATACTATTATGTTACACATATCTAGTAGGTCCACATTTCACAGCGTAAACCATTACTTCCTATATGGTAAATCTATAGAAATGAGTAATCTTTTCAACAGACATCACTAAAAATGAATAACTCCAAATCTTCAACAGTGTCAGGGATTTACATCAAATCTACCATAACAAAATGAGTTTTAGGTTTTTAGACTGCATACAGTTTATGAAAAGTACGCTTCGATATACTCGGAATAAATATATTTAGAGTATATTTATCATGAGATAAAAGTTAATTCTGAAATTCAGAATCATGTTATGATGAGGCCAAGGTGTATTAGGGGATAAATGTTCCTATGTCATACATTTTAATTTCTGAGAACTGGTTTTTTAAAAGATATTTATGTTATTTGTTATCCCGATAAATATGCACATATATCACTGCGTAGAACTTAACTGCAATGAATGCTGTTGCATTAAACAAGACTTTGTCAGTTTCATGTGCGTAATACGCTACTGACTAAAAATAATACCAATGAGAATGACGTCAACAATAGAGGCTGAAGTCAGTAGTCGTCAAACCTTTAACAGTTGAAAATTTTATGCTTCATAACTCTAAGAATAGATTAAGGAAGTGAGGCGGATTCAAAATTGTGACCTTGGATAATAATCACGTTATGCTGTAAACTCACAGAAGTAAGCAACTCTGTTCTATTGGACTCAAATCCAGTGTCTGGATGGCCTACGTGCTTGCTGTGAGACCTGAAAATCCAGAGTTGGCCCCTTGAGGGGGTCACGAAAGTACACTGCTGAGGAGTCAAACACTGGGACGAAATAACCCAGAGGTTTTCATTGGTTTTCCAAATACCTCCAGTCCTTGATGAATACTTCCTTGGAAATAAGGATACATCACAAGTAATGAAATATTGTCCATTGGAGAGAAACTTGAATTTATGACAATATGAATTCAACTTTGTTCGTTTTGTTTGAAGCTTGTTCGTAACCTGCTTTGAAATAGTTTGAGGAATACCATTTGAATACAAAGTGGATAGAAAATTGAAAGCTTTCTGGTGGTCATTATTCGATAGACGAGTATATACAGAGTTGAATGGCACCATTTAACGTTTTCAAGGTGTTCGTAGTGACAAATATTCATCACAATATGCGAATCAAGTGGATTTTAAAAAAGTATTTTTGATATCACTATAAGCCTGTGATGTAGTATGATTCCGTAGCATGATGTATAAATAAAGTACTTGACGAAACTCATAGTGCCATCCACTGAATAGAAGATAAGTAGTGACCAATCGCTAGTCAGCAATAACCACGATAATTTGTTACTTATTTATGTATTCACACTGAAATAAAACCCTAATTCTTACTAATTTACAAATAACAATAAGAAGATATGATTTAGCTGATTGTTTTTTTTTGAAATTAATAAATGGGGCAGACTGTTTTAAGTTTCTTAGTAAAAAGCGCCTTCAACATACGATTAAAAGGTTGTACAAACTCACCAACGAAAGATATAAAGGTGTTTCGGAATGTAAGAGATTGAAATTTTACAAATCTTTCAATTCTGGACATAATTTTTAAGACTGATTGACAAAATCAACATAGAACTTGACATACAGGTGCACTGACTCAAGTTGCCACACTTCATAGAAGTACCCAAAGAACAAGTGGATAGAAAGTGAATGATACCAAAGTAGATAAAGATGAAGCTTATTGTGAACATTTAAGCTTTAGAAAATGTTAAAAGTTAATACAACTAGGCCATTGAGACCTATTTTCAGACATATTACTAGCACTTCTCAACCACTGACTCCTTTCGACTCGAGGACTTCAACCAGACAGTCTGCATCTGTGCACACCACTCAGACCAACAGTAGGAGACTTCATTCACTGGTTTCGGGCTTTGGTCTGGCTAACCTAGCCAAACTTCTAGCATCGCACGTAGAAGTAGGCAACGTTTTGGCATGTTCAGTACACGTTTAAGCCATCTCAGTTGACTAAGGTTCACAATCTCATCAGTTAACTCGCTTGTCTGGCCTACTACCCTTAGCTTGACCTCAGCATTCGCTCACGTGATGCTTCCACCAAAGCGATCAACGCTACTAAGACACCTATGATTGAAAC